CTAGAATGCTTAGGAGAGAGAGGGGTTGGGTGAAAACCAGTATCACCCCCGAGCAATCAGTATGCGTGTCCTTGGCATACTTAAAACCAGACGGATTTCTCCTCTTCCCTTAAGGTGAAATGCGAGAACAACAACGTGATAACCTCGTCCATGCGGTTGTAGTCGCAGAGGGAGCAGCTGTCGGAAGCCGAGAAGTAAATGCCTTTAGCGTCCTTCAAAATATCCTTGGAGCAGGACCTCTTATTAAGAGAGGAAGCAGGATTACCAGCAAACTTGTCCAGGAAATTACAAAGACGACTTCCCTACCCTTTGATGTAAGGACTGAAACTTATTTTTTTTATATCAAAGGCATAGAAATCCTTGTGTGTGTGTGTGTGTATACAGTATAAATATGTATGTGTGTAAAAGGAGCCTCTGTGGCGTAGTGGTTAGAGTGCAGTACTGCAGGCTACTTCTGCTGACTGCCTACAATTTGGCAGTTCAAATCCAACCAGGCTCCAGGTTGATCCATCCTTCCAAGGTGGGTAAAATGAGGACCCAAATTGTTGGAGGCAAAGAGGCTGACTCTGTAAACTGCTTAGAGAGGTCTGTAAAGCACTATAAAGCGGTGTATAAATCTAAGTGCTATTGCTATATATATGATAATTGTCTGTGAAATCTTCCTAATTTATGGCTGCATATGGCAAAATAACTCCAGAGCATATTTTGCGCTACAAGTAGTCCTCACGTAGGTTTCGGACTGGCACCTCAGGTGTTAAATAAAGCAGTCACTAAGTGAAACTGATTATGATCTTACTTCAACTTCCCTTTGATTTTCAGACCTCAAACAATGAGGCATTGGAAGACTGTCCAAAGAGTTCCTTTTTCTTCACTGTCATTATGATCAGTCACCAAATGAGGACTATCTGTAGTCTCTTATCAATGAATCTTGATATGTGTCTCTAATGGAGGTTCTCCATCAATTTTGCCCTTGGTTCAGGCCAGAGGTGACAAAATACCCCTTTCAGCTCTTGAATTGTATGGTTAGGATAGTGGTAGACTTCCATTCATCGATCATCAGTTTTAAAAGGTTTTTTTTTACATGACCCTTTAGACACCTTGCAATCCTGAGTGCCAATTAGAAGAAGCCTTCCTCCTTCCCTCCTACAGGAATAGCTGCATCTTCTAAACCCCTTGTAAACAATAGTGCACCGACTAAAAGAAACATGCTTTTCTCCTTTGGAAAAGGAAGAGATTCCTTAACATAAAATTAATTTGCCTAGATTTCATTGAGTGAGGATTTTAGGTTTATAAGCAAATGCTTCATCTTAACTCCCAGTAGTTTGCAGTGTTCAAAATAGGTTATGCTGGGGGGGGGGGTGGGGGAATGCTAGAATATGCTAACTGAAGCAGCCTTCTATTGCAGGTAACAGCATTCAATGTGAATTATTCTGATTCTGGTCTTTTTGGCATATATACCATCTCTCAAGCTTCAGTCACCAGGGAGGTAAGTTATCAGGGTTGACGTAATTCTAGATCCCCTTGGGGCCTGCGAGTTGCTTGCACTCTCAAGTAGGTTCTTCGGGTGGGCGTGCCAAAATGTGCAACTCCTTTGGGAGGGATTTTAAGGGGGGAGATGGATATCTTTGAGGGTGGAGTACCTCTAGTTACTGCAGCCAGAAGTGACATATTTCATATATAACGGTTGTGTCAAGGTAATCAAAGCGGCTTTGAATCAAGTGAAGGCTGTTTCCGAGGGTGGAGTTACTGAGGAAGAAGTGAAAAGAGCCAAGTAAGTTTCCCACTCCCCACTCCCCCAAGATTGTTTGATTATACAGTGATTTTTTCACTCTCCAAAAATATTGTGGGTCCTTCTTCTTTCTGATAAGCTTTTTTGACTAACAGGTATGGCTATGTGTAATATAATTCTCTGGGTCTGTTAAACCTTTATTAAGCTAGAGTAAAAAAAAAAAATCACAGCTTTCTGTATGTGTGAAACTTGTTCATCATCCAAAATGAACAATAAAGTATTCAGAAGCAAGGTTATAACGGAGATAGAGCACATGGTTTTTATTATGTATTTGTTTGTTTGAGTTTTATCCCTTTATTAATTCATAAGTAATCCAAGATGAACGTATACAATATTCCTTCCTCCTTTTAGTCCCACAACCAACCACCTTGTGAGGTGTGGGTTAGGCTAAGAGAGGGGGACTGCCCAAAGTCGGCCAGCCAGCAGCATTCATGGCTAAGCTGGGACTCAAACTCACCATCTCCTGGTGATTGGCCCAAAATCATTCAGGTTTTCCTGCCTAAGGCAGGACTAGAACTCACAGTTTCCTGGTTTCTAGGCCGGCACCCTAACGACCTCACCAACCTGGTTAAATGCAGAACTTCCTGGTGTCCCAAGAGCATTGTCTTGTCTGAGATTCTTAGCCATTGCTCTGTCAGTCCAGAGAAAATGAGATAAGTGGCCAAACAGTTAATTTGTTGTATTTGCAATCAGTTGAATCATTTTTTT